CTACTTCGGGCGATAAGGTACGAATTCTACGTAATTTCTTAGTCAGATTTCTCCTAGCAACTTGAAGATCACATTTGCATTTTTCATTCGTATTCTCTGAGAACCCCAGCTGCCAGGGTTCAGGTGTCGGTTGCACAAGTCAATAATTACTTCTAATTAACTACGACGTAGTTACTTCGTTCAAAATTAAGTAACTGCAATTAGGGGAGCCCATTAGCCCTGAACAATTGGGAATAGTCAGCCAAACAGAACTGTCGATGACTCAATGACGGCTGCACTTAATTAAGCCCAGCTGACTGCGGAGTTTTCAAGTGCACAGAGAGAAACCTAATAATAACAATAGATTATTTTTTTTTTGCTACCGAAATAATCTCAACCTTATCAAAATTCTAGACTTTATATTATTTAATTAAAACGTGACATTTGAATGCATAAATTGGATCATTAAAGTTCAAAAGAAAGCTAAATATAACACTTTGAAATGTTGAATAAGTTTATGGTCCATTATTTTGCGAAGCGATGAATCATTGGATTTTTACCATTTGTTTTGCTGTTTGTAGCCCTATCATGGGAATTTTAATTTTATATCTGAGCTTTTTTAATGCTACACACCAGTAAATATAATGAAAAATACTACCGCTGGTAAAACACAAACTAATCAGTACTTATAGTTTTAATGTCAATAATAACTTTAGAATTAAGAGTCATATAAACATAAAAGCAATAAAAACTTAGAACTACACATAAACAAAAACATTATAGAAAAAAGTTTACATTTAATTTTAAGGTGTTTTTTGCACAGATGGTTTGTATTTCATAACAAATTTAGACGTGCGAATATGGAATAGACTTTACCGTGTCCGGAACCGCCTTATCATTTTCACCTTTTCGAGACAAGTCGCAGATAAGTGTTATTTTTGAATGGAAAAACTGCCCATTGATGGCCAGGTCCCGCCTTTTTTCTCTGTGTACGAATACAAATGCTGGCTGAAACCGCTGGCCTAGCAACGAGTTGGAGTGGCGATCAGCCCATGTTTTATGGGACGGTATGGGGTGGCGTTATGGGGGGGAATACCATAGTATACACATGTGTATACCCAGATGGGGGGTACTTACCACAGTGGGCGAGATCGATGATCGGAACCACGCTGCGCGAGAGGAGCGTGTCGAGTTTGTCGTCGCTGCTCTTTGTTTTTATCATTTTGTGTGAGTGATGGTGTCTGTGTGCTTCGCGTGCTTTCCAGAGGGTCTTCGACGTCTAAAGTTCTTTGGTTTTTGATTGTCGGAGCAATCGAACACTCGCCGCACTGGTGCTCGCTTTATCTTTATCACAAACTACGGGGACTTGGCGCCCTGAGGGGATCCGGAGACGAAGTGCACTTCCAGCGATGGCAGACTAAATGAAACTGAATGACAGCAGCGAACCGAATTTGATTATTAGACTGGTTATGCCGGCCCAAAAAAAAAAACAAACAATTAAATCGCGCATCCGAGTGTTTTTATTTTTGTTTAAATTTTTTGTATTTTGTTTTTGCAATGGCTATTGTTTTTGTTTGGCTAGCGAGCAAACGCTTTGACAGCAGAATTGGGGATAAGAGGGGGGGCTCTTTGGGGTTTACGATCCAATACAATCCGAAATACGAACGGCTGATTGGGTGATTGGTGATTTTAGAAGGGCGCGTGGCGGACGAGAGGCGATCGAACAATCGCGGCGCGCTTCTTGAGCGACTGTTCAGCCGTTTCTTTTTGGGGGGGTTCTAAGTTCTGGGCTCCAACGCTTATCGCACCCGACTGGCTACACTTATGCCTACTTTACGATTTTATTTTGCAAAAACCAACTGATTGCGTGAGGTGTATACGGTGAATGAGGAGTATGCCTGCATGTGCGTCGCAATTAGATAAAATTTAATCAAATCAAAAATTGTGATAACTAAATTAGCACTTGTCGTTCTGGGGAGGGGTTTTGGGTTTGGCGGGGGTCTAGAGCTCAGTACTCGAGAAACCACAGTGGGTATTCCGGCTTATGGTGAGCAGGGCCGAAAGGTGAGACTATCTAAAGCCGTCAACAGGTAGCCCCGTCTCGGTTTGCTTTTGCAATATTTGTGATGGCTATTAACGTGGCTCGGGCACATGCATATACACAGATGAACAGATGTACATATAAGTATATACGAGATACAGATACTCTGGTTGCGGTGTGAGTCTGCTGCTGCTCTGGCATGTATCTTGCATCTTATGGATTGTGTTGTGTGGTATCTGGCAGATCCCGTTTTGCCGTTTAACGGCACTGGATCTCAGGTGTGAGCCCTCCTGCCTTTCTTTTCATTTCACCCCCTAAATAAACCAGCTGAGCGATCGATCGTGGCTGTTGCCAAGCGGTTTTCGTTCAGGAAATGCCGGATGAACAAAGTCTGGTCTTTCAGTCTGCCAGTCTGCATGGATCGGTTTTGAAGGGGTAGGGTTCGGGGTCGGGGTTTATAGATATACATATATATGTATATTCGGGGCGTGAGTAAGCGTTCGCCTCGCCTTTCGTTGCAAAAACACTATGCCAGCGAACACTCACTAAAACTACTCGAAGCGCCTATTCAGCTGAAATGTTGTGATTTAAACCGAGGTGATTTTGCTTACAGTGAAAACTCGCTTTCTTTTTTCGCACAGGTTTCGCTTTTCATCGAACACCCGACCCGACGAGACGACAGCACACAGCAGTTGGCCAACAATCTACTTAGTCAATTTTCGTATCGCTTTCTGATGCTTTTTTTGCACACTTTCCATCATTTTGTAACACACTCCACTCGCGAATTTAACCTAGATACACCTGAACTAGCGCAGAGAGGAACGGCGTCTGTCTCAACTCAAAAAACATTCGCGATCCGCGATCTTCGCTCGTTTCGAATCGGATCCAGTTCGAAAACGATATCGAGCTTATCGGTAGTCGCTGTGGGGTCTATCGATATTTATACAGGGGCTCAAGTCTCTAAAGATCGTGTAAAAAGTCCGTTAACATTTGGATGTTAAAACTGGTTTATTTTACACTAGCAATGAATGTAACATTTCAAAATTTTAACAATGGAAAGACTTTGTCAAAATAGTTTATAACTGAGACATATAGCATAACTTTTTTTTTTTTTAAATCAAATCATTTTTTGTAATATTTAAAATATTAACAATCTCAAATTTATTCACTTTGAAAATTACATTGCATTATTATATTATTCAAAAATTGCAGTTTGTTTACAATTCCTAATGACTTTGGCATCTGTCTAGAGCTGCAATAATCGCTTGCCCCAGATTCGTTGATTTATTGAGATCGCTGACCGTAGGTCTCATTAAACTTTTTCTGTATCAGTTCATAGGCAGTGTATACTCTTGGGGTTAGGAAAAACAGAAATATAAGATAGTATTTATACTAAATGTAACAAAACTTACTTGTCTTCACTCTGTTTGTCATCTTCACCAGAGATATCGTTGGGAGATATCAGCGATTATTGGGATGGCAAAAATAGGCAATGGAATGTCTGCCGCGAGTTCGTATATAATCTTGTTCGGGTATAACGACGCGATGAGGCTAGGGAAAGGTATAAAAACATATGTTAATAAGAACATTTCCCAAAGTTCAGTAATAACCTACCAGGGCATGGTAACGCTGCTTAGTCCAGATGGACAGGATTTCCCGCCGTTAATGAGTATGCTCCAGGTAGATGACCCACTCGTTCCCATTTCTCGCTGCCCGGCAGTTGCACCTCCAAGCCGCCTTCAGAATCCTGGGCGAGAAGAGTAAAGGTTCCGTAGTCCACATGCGCGCCACAACGAATGGCCCCTTCACTCTGACCCGGTTCATCGTCCACAATAGCCGGATAGTAAAGCATCCTTAGGGTACTCATATTGACATCATCACCTTCCAACATCTGCGAGTGCTTGTCGATAAAGAAGGACGGAGGAATCTCCAGGGCCACCTCCATGGCCTTCAGAATAAACGAAGACATGGCCTTCAATCCGTGCACAGGGTCGTAATGTCTTCTGCAATTCCGGCATGGCTCTTTTGGAATATTATTTCATCCAGCTTGCAAATATTGTAGGTGTGGCGGAGTTCTGGAGTGCTTCCATCAAATCGCTCCATTCCCGGACTAACGTATCCATAATTAACCCCATCCCTTCGCCTGTAGCGATCCTGAATCTCCGCTGGCAATCCAAGAAGTTGTCAAATTGATCCCACACTGCTTTGATCTGCATGTTAAGAAAATATTAAAAATATAGCATAATGAATACAACAACTTACCTTGTCTTCTGCTATTCCATGGTTAACCAGGAAAGCAATTCCCTTTTCAGTGAAAGCCTTATGCAGTTGCTGACCCACCCGATTGACAAGGGACTTGCCTAAAAAGTTTGAGAATCATTAGTTATTGGTTTATATTTTGATATAGAGCATTGTAGGGCTTATCAATGCTCGCCTAAAAATGCCCCTATCAACTATTTGATTTAGGGATGGTGGTGAATTTTTGTAGACAACACGTCACCAACTATATTGTTCTTTTAGATAATTTAATCCTATTAAATTCAATTTATTTAAATGTGATGGGATGTGGAAACTTACCGCAATGGGCGAGATCGATGATCGGCACTGCGCTTCGTGAAACAAGTGTTTCTAACTTTTCCTCTCTTATCTTGCTGTTTATCATTTTTGGTAAATACACCCCGGTGAGGTAAATCAAATACGAAAAAGATTGTGTCTGGAAATTTTCTGCTTGCTCAGACCTCTGAGTACCTCCGATGCGAACTCGACAACCTTCTCCGGCAGACTGACCCAAACAGAGCGAGGCATTTGCATTATTTCTAATCGGTACCTACTTACTTATCTTTAACGATCAACATGAATGGTATAGCATATTCTAGGGGTGTGTAAATAAAACATTTGTATGGCGGGCAAAACCAGGTCCTATCTGTTCCTAAAATATACCAAAAAATGAGTTTAATAATAAACTTTTACAACTAAAAAAAAATATATTCTTTCTTTGGCACAACACTGAGAAAATTAAAAAACATTAATAAGTTCTTAAGAATAATTATGCCCATATGCGCCTTTTGCCAAAGCCATAGATATATCATAAGCGTTGTATATCCTGAAAGAAAATTGAATTATTTATTGAACTAATTATCAAAACCTTGACTCACTCTTGTGTGGGGGACTTCTTAACTGGTATTTTTAAGTCTTTAGGATCGATCAATGTGGAGTTATCAGGATGGCAAAAATAGGCAATGGAGTGTCTGCCTCGATGGCGAGTATCCACCTCTTCGGGAACAACCACTCGATGTTGCTGTGGAAAGTAATCTTATAAATGTTGGAATACCTTCATCTTAAGTTTATATCCCCACCAAGGCGTGATATAACTGATCCGTCCACGCAGACATGGTTTCGCCGCAGTTTATGAAGAGTGCTCCCGGTAGATGACCCACTCGCTCCCATTTGTCACTGCCCCTCAGCTTGACCTCCAAACCACCCTCCGAATCCTGTGCCAGCAGGGTGAAGGTCAATAGTCGGCATGGGCTCCACATCGGATTATATTGCCATGATCTTCATCACCCACCGGAGGATAGTAGAGCATACGCAGGGTGGTAAGATTGAAGCGATCGTCGGACAGCATATAAGAGTGTTTATCGAGGAAGAACGAAGGAGGAGTATCCAGTGAAAGTGCCAAAGCCTGAAGAATAAATCTACCCAAGGTATTGAAGTCATCGGTCAATGAGTTAATGTGGTTGGTGATTCCAGGCAGCTCCTTTTCGGGTAAAAATTCAGCCTGCAACTTGCATATATTGTACGCATGCCGTAGTTCCGGTGTTCTGCCTTCGAATCTTTCCATTCCCGGACTCACATAGCCGTGATTTTCGGCATCCGGAGCTTTGCTTCTTTCATAGGGCAGTTTAACCTCTGTTGGTAATTCAACAAATCTATCGAAGTACTCCCAAGACGTCTTGATCTGAGCAAATTTTAAATTAGGTTATAGGCCTCATAGATTTTGTGATAATATGTACCTTTTATTGGAAATTCCATGGTTTATCAGCAGAGCATAGCCCTTTTCTGACAGGGCCTCTTTAAATATTTGGCCACATTCTCAATGCTGTTCCCTAAATCTATAATGGGAACAGCATTTCGTAAAAGCAGAGTATCAATATTTGATTCCATTGTTATTAAATATTATCAATAATAGTTCCTTATTATTGAGCTGGGGATGTTGTTATTCCAATCACAAGAAAAAGAAGACTAAATCGAAGACAAAGATTTTGATTTCAATGCAGGGAGAGAGATTGTATTTATAGTTATTATTTCAAACTATACTTTTAGGTAGCTTTAGTCAAGTAAAACGTATGTAAAAACATGTATAAATCTCCAGGCAGCTCAAGTAAATAAAGACATTAAAGGTTTACATATGAATCGTTTTTTTATTGTTTGCAAATAAAATATACAAAATTACATTTCATCATAAAATTGGGCACTTTTTTGTTTTCCGACAGGCAAAAGTTCAGAGTTCTCCGACCATATCGGCATTGCCATTCGCCTGTCAAATTTTGCTCTCGACTTTCACAGTCCATAGGATAAAGTCTAATCACTAAACTATAATATTTGGTACTATTACACTATCCCAATACAGAAAGTGCAACGATTTCTTGCACTCTGCAATGGGGACTGATCCGAACAAGTACAAAAGGGGCCGCTATCCTCGAACTAACGAAATACTACGAAACAAGCTTACGCAACTACAGATTGTATAATATCCATCTTGACCTATGTATACCTAGGGGGAGGATATTGGAGGTGGTTGGGGTGGGGGATCTGGGATGGGAATGGGGGTGTAGGGAAGGGTTTTTAGGGAGGGACCATAATAATAAGTGAGCATAGCTTAAGGTAGCGCCAACTAACGTCGCTTCCTACTCCTTTTTCGCCGCCAGTTTGGCCTGGGCAGCCGCCTCCTTCTTGTAGTTGGCCACATAGAAGGCACTGAACATGTAGGTGAAGAGGCCGGCATTGAAGGTCAAGAGGGCGGCAATGGACTTGGGGAAGTTGCAGTTGGGCTGGAATTGGATCTGCAGCGTGTGCACGAAGATGATCAGGAATTGGACCTATAAAGAGGGGAACATTTAAAATCAAATCTTTGACTTCTTAGAGGAGAAACCACTTACAATCTGCAGGATGGTGATGTACTTCTTCCACCACAGGTACTTCTGCACTGCGGGTCCCATGGCGGAGAGCAGGTAGTAGGCGTACATAATGATGTGGATGAAAGAGTTGATGAAGCCCAGTAGGGTTCCATGTCCGCCGGCAAAGTACTTGACTCCAATGAAGGCGCACACGGGCATCAGGGTGTGGTGGTACAGGTGGAGGAACGAGATCTGACGCTGCTTCTTGCGCAGCACAAAGAACACGGTGTCCAGCAGCTCGGTGATCTTGGCAATGTAGTACAGCCACACGGCACGAGCCATCTAAAATGGGTAAGGGGTATTAAAAGGTGATATAAGGCATAGAAAGGTTATAGGACACCATACCCTCATGGAAATCGGATCCGACTCGTAGGTCACCGGCTGGCACTTGAATTGTAGTGACCGCCCCAGCCGCCCTTGTAGCCCTCGTAGAAGAGCACCCAACTGAGGAGCACCTGGACCGCATTGTAGACCAGCAGGGTGTTCTTCAGCTCGAAGGGCTTGCGATCACGCATGTAACGGGGTCCGGCGTACAGGCAGAAGTACAGGTAGGCTCCCAAGATCATGAACAGGGGTCCGGGGGCATTCGACAGGAACCAGTTCTAAGGTAGCCAAAAATGTTTTAATTGATTGATGGAACAACAAATGTCCTAACCTTTCAAGATCTAACAAATGATGAGACCACATATTATCTCTTATTATATATCTTAATCAATATAAACTGATTATAAAAGGTTTACTTAAATCATGTCTTCATAATATCGCTGATTAAATCAAAGAACAAGTTTTTTATTTAACTAAAACAAAATCGGTTAAGATATGATGAGTATTACAATATTATCATATATTACAATTTCCTCAAAACTTTTTGGCCGGTCGGTAATGTGAAGTTCTAAAAACCATTTTCCCATTACCCTCTGATGACTTGACAAACATTAATATAAATTCCAAAATATATTATGCTGAGGTTACACATTTTCCTTTATAAATGCAATGTAATATAATAAAATAATACTCTCCGGTTACAAGGTAAAGATATTTGTTTAATTAATTCTCTGCCAGCTTTGTATACCCACCTTGGTCCGCAGATCCTCGTGCTCCACGAAGAAGTTGACCATCCGATCAACAATGGTGTTCGTCTCGTTCAGAGTGACCGACATCTTGGCAATCTGTAAATGTAGGGTAATCAAAAAATTAGTTTGGATTATGCAGTGTCGTAGATTAGCACCTTCTACGACCATGGATCAGGCGGTAGAAGCAAAACGCATTCGATCTGTGTTTGATTTTCGCGCTATGAGCATTTCCTGTTAATCAATGAGACACACAAACTCTAAGTAATGCTGCCCAAGGCGAAACCGCGCCTACGCTTGGCCAGATCAGAATATATATATTTGTCGATATTTGCATGCCCATGATACAGTGATCGTTGCGGGTGCGAAATGTCATATTAGTAGAATCGTGTAAATCAGGCGTAGCTTTGCAAATTTCAGAATGCCAATAACCTGGCGATTTATATCTGTTGAGTTTGCGGAAAAAGCCACCAGGCAAACAGTTTAAACTCGTAATTTATCGGGGGTTTATTCGAGCCAAACTGTCGCCTCAGCAATTACAATTACCCGTTGCGCATTTAATTCTTTTTTTCCATGATTATGATTTACATATATTGTTAAGTGGCAGTCAACGCAGTGAACAGGCCAAAACAAGGGACACGATGCGTTGGCTTACGTGAACAGAACTGGTTTCGTGCTCATCGCTGTGGCTGCGTTAACTTGGCCAAATTAGCCCCTTGTTCTCCCCCCTGCTCCTGTCCCTCCTTCTGGCTAGTTTTTGCCCTGGCTTTTTGGAAAAACCCAGGAAGCAGGATAGTCCAAGGACAGTCTGTCAAGCCCATGCATCATTAATTTTATGGCTTTGCGATCAGGGAGGACAAACCGGTTGCATGTGATTATTGGCTTGATAGCACAAATCATTTCTGACTTTTAAAATGCGACATGTATTACCCATACTTAACTCATAAATAATAAATCATTAAGTTTTGTCTAATTGTTTTTGATTTTATTATATGTAGCCTTTACGAAAGATGTTCTACTATTTTTAGATGATATTTTATCTCCCCCATATATTTACTATTCTTTCCTCTCCTCCCTTTACTTTATTCAATTCTGGAGCCTCTTACTGATTTTTAAGAATTATTTATAGATCATATTTTGTATCCCCATAGGACCATTCCTTTGTCTTCTCCCCGGGCTATTTTTATTTAAGTCTTTGTAAACCAAGCCTAGAGGCAAGGACAACCTGCAGACATGCACAGGGAACATTATGGTTTGTTTTTAAGGAAACCAGTTTTGGGATGCAGTTTTTGCAACAGTTGATGATCGTGATTATCGTCGGAGGGCCCATCCCAAAATTCTTTAGCAATGGTGACTAGACGGTTTTTAGTGCCCGCTGATATCGGTCATTACCTGACCATCATTTGAGACGACATCAATGGCTCCTTGAGGCTCCGACTTGGCCAAATAGCTGGCCCAGTTCGGCTTTGTCTAACCCACTTGGCCCACTCGGCCACTGGAATCATCATTTGGCCGGGCTCTATTAATTATGTGAGCACCTGCCATCTGCGACTACGGTTCGCACTCCAAGTGAACGCCATTATCGAATTACCCAGCGTTTTCTGTTCAGTCATCGCTCTTAGCGGAGCTGCGCGCCAAAAATGCATTCATTCAGCTGGATATTGAGATATTGACTAACGAGAATTTCGACTGACTTATTTGCATTATTTCGAGTGCCTTTGCCGAGTGTTTTTGCAAGGCCGGCACTTTCAATCGACCAGAGCAGCCCAGCCAATGGTGTTTTCGAGGGTGTGAGATTGTGGTGCAAGAAACCCACATGGTACGCTTACATTCTACAGTTCCCAGCCAAGAAGGATATGGAATAACAAGTGATTTATTTATAGGAAGAACTTAGCTTTCAGCGGTTAACATTATTTAATCTTGTATATCTCTATGCTAATTCAAAACTTGTTTTATTCGCCTGCAAGCGTTAAAAATTTTATAAACATTATTCCGCACTTAAATTTATGACTGCTCCAATAACCTGTTAATGCAATTTCTACTCGAATTTCACCCGCAAAACTCAAATAAAATAATAAAAGCAAATCAAAACATTATATAATCTTCTACCGGTTTATTCTTTAATTATTCAGCGGTCGAATGTTGAACTTGGACTTGGTTTTCGGTTTCGGTTTCGGGGATTTTGGACTGCCAAGTTCTTATATGACCATAAACAGTCATAAATAGTTAGATAAGATGTGGAGAATTCCAGTTTGGTTTATTGAGGAGGCCACTGTTTCGATGTGATTCTCCCCATTTGGACCTTCCGGTCTCTGAGATCAGCTCGCGACTCATCTCGTCATCGGAATCGCTGTAAATTTTTGCATATCTATTTGGCTATTGACTTTCAGAATCTTCCGTTGTTCACATGCAAATTAGTTTGAACTTTATGGCCAAAAACCCAAAAGTCAGCGTTACTTTGCATGTTAAATACTAGAAATTTTCCTATCTCTTAATGGCTTGAAATTCCGAACCAAATATATAAACCAATGGAAAACTTCGCTTAGTTGGACCCTGAGATTTGCTCTCGTTTTGCATAATGCCAAACAAAAACATTGCGCAAATCCTAGCTACTTTTCCAATAATAATGTTGATGGCCGTTTGCATGCCAATTAGCGATTGACAGTGAACGAGAGTGCGTGGCAACGACAGAGTCAATATTAAATGAAGCCAAATAATGGCAAAGTAAATAAATGTATAAATACATATCACCCGCCTCCCTGACGTCACATTCCAGTTTATTATTATGCGATAATCAGCACGGTTAGAAGTTGGCCGATAAATTCTAGACACGCGTCGTGCAAAAGATTCGCACGTTTTGTTCAGTGGGCCCATTTTTGGTCACCCCAGCACATGGGGCGTATGCGCAATGCGCGTCTCATTATGCTAGG